TCACAAAAGCAGTCCAGTAATCACTGTCCCGTTAGTTAAATGTTTAACAGATGCTCAGCATTCCCGGGATCAGAAACTTTTAATGTTAACGTCTTTTACCAATACCAAATATGTTCCTATGACTACTACTCACTACTTGCAGCCCCCAATCTGCAACCGTCGCTACTCTAAGGTCCTCCTAAAAGTGAACAGGAGTTAGGACAATTTTAATTTTGCTTGTTTTTGTGTTTTTTTGAAAATCTGATCAAAATCCAAGCTTTACTTTTGGAGCTACAGACAGTCAGACCAGCGGAAACGAAAAATACGATATACATTATACAGATGTCGTGTAATATCCTTATATCATATCTCGTTTCCGAAATCCTCCCCAATTAGCGCGAGAAGTAAAACATGTAGATTGAATATAGCATCCCCAAAAATAGGCCACCATCGAATCGTTTGACTTGCGAATACTCTCAAAACTCCCGGTGAACATTTTATTGAATAACTTTCGAATGTTCTTTGTTCTAGAACATGGGAATATTACTACTTTCTCGACTATTATTGGATACTGGAAGGACCGAGGTCAACAGTCATTGTGGTGAGTTCCTAAAACCTTTTTACTTTTTATTCATCCTTTTCTCGTTTACATTCATATAGCGATTTGTTCTAACAACTAGTTGGAAACTCGTAGAAACTAAGGTTTTGCAATTCTCTACCAGTCCACTCAAAGTTTAGAGGGAAACTGTTTTGTGCATCCAATACTGCACTCGTGCTTGTTAAGAATGATCAAGAATTCAAATCAAAAAATTTAAAAGATTAAGTTATGAAGCAAAGAGAATTCAAATTAGTAAATAAAGATAAAATTACAGATAAAAGAATAAGTAATGGACAGTCTAAGATCAATAACTTTATATCACACTGAACATCGAAATGAATTATCACTTATGGCATGTGACTAAAGTCATTTTCTAAAAACTGATGTAAGCTATCAAAACTTTTAATTAGTAGGTACGTTTTTACCGTCTTTTCAAAAGTTCTGTCATCAAGATTTCTACAGAACTGAGGAAGGATATTAAAATGTTTGCGTCATAGTATACTAAGTGACACATCAATCCGAACACCCAGTTAAATGGTTTTATTGTAATAAAATTTTGTATAAGTACTTAATGAAGCATAATAAGTAAATGATAAAAATTTCAAATGATTGCCCTGCTTTAAAGCCCTTTGGCCTTTAATAATGTGTAAATGGACCCTGATGTGCTACGCATTCTCCAACGCGCCTAGGCATGCTTCTGATCAGGTGATCAATGTCCTCCTGTGGTATCTCATTCCAGGCAACCACCAACTCCTCTCGAAGTGCTTCTAGAGTCTGAGGAGGACGTTGCAAATTGAGCAATCTCCTACCCATCATATCCCACACGTGCTCAATTGGGGATAAGTCGGGAGATCTTGGTGGCCATGGTAACAATGTGACATCATTATGTTGAAAGAAGTCTATTGTGACTCTTGCAACATGTGGTCGGGCATTATCTTGTTGGAAAGTTGGATCTGCCAGGGTGTCAAGATAGGGTAAAAGATGGGGTTCTAGAACTTCGTAGATATAACGTTGCGCGTTCATGTTACCTCTGATGAAGATTAAAGGTGACCTGGAACCATAAGCTATAGCACCCCAAACCATAACTCCAACAGTGTGATGAACATGTCTTTCAACAAAAAACTGTGGATTCCTCCTTTCACCACGTCGCCTTCTAGCCCTGTCACGACCATCGTGCATGCCTAAACAAAATCGAGACTCGTCACTAAAGACAATACTGTTCCATTCCTGATCCCAGAGTGACCGTTGTCTGCACCACTCAAGGCGATTACGTCGGTGTTCTCGAGTTAAAGGGAGGACCCAGTGTGGCCGGTATGAAAATAAGCCAAATTTTCTCATTCGTCGGTAAACACTTCGCATGCCAATAGGTCTTCCGTGTTCTGCAAACCATTCATTTGCAATGGACCTGGTAGTGGAGAAACGGTCCCTTAAGGCCAATAATCTTAGGCGGCGATCTTCACGGTCTGTTGTTCTACGGCGGCGTCCAGTGCCCCTTGCTCTTTGCGTACGGCTTTCTCGAAGCCTTGCCTGACAACACCTAACCACAGTGTCTACACTTCTTTGCACTCTAACTGCAATTGCCCGGAAAGAAAGTCCAGCTTCCCGAAGTCCCACTATACGGCCCCTACCAAACTCACTAAGTTGACGAAATCGTACAGGTCTCCATACTCTAGGCATCGTAACCGATCGTAAAGGATGTCAAGAACCAAAATCCGCCAACGTTGATTCTTTACTGCGGCTGAAATATTCATTTTTAGAGCGTTTGAATTAAAAAAAAGCAGGATAAAAACCGGAATGTCCAACTGATAAGGACGAAAATTTTTTCACTTGTTATTTACAGTAAGATAAATACATTCACCAACTTTTATTAAAATAAAACCATTTAAACTGGGTGTTCGGATTTATATGTCACTTACTATACTATATTTTTTCAATGTGATTTAAAAATGTATTTTTCTTAGACAAGCGAAAACGCTGTCCGCCGTGTTTGGCCCATAATAATGTTTTCTGACGTCATACCATTTGTAAACATCAGCTGACAACAGGATAACCTCTCAAACTTTTAAACATATAAACATATAAACATCACTTCTACTGGTTTATATGAAACATATAGTACCTATTGTTATTGTATCGTCCGAGAATGTAAAAAGACATCGATAAAGACCCCAAGAAAGCTGATTAATGGGCCCAGGGAAATAAATATACACCTAACAAATATACTTAGTGACATTAGAAGTGTTACACCCAGAAAAAATAATTTCTTCAACTTGTTATTTAGATAACACAATTATATTGGAAGCATAATGTGGCAACATTATATTGTCAACGTTTTATCTTTGTGTTTGTTTACGTTTGTTAAAATGCATTTTTTTATTTTTTGTCAAAAAGCTGTTGCTGACAGCTGAGTAGTACAGATATTTTTAGTTAATAACATCACTCGAGCTCGAAGACGTCCAAATTATCACCATTTTACCGACTTTGGCAGGGGTAGAATTATTGCCTATCGAGATGTTGGTTTGTCGTATCGCGAAATTGGCCGCCGTGTTAATTGTACTGCAATGACGGTAATGCGTGTGTGGATAGAAGAAGGTAAAGGAACACGAAGAAGGCCAACTGATCCAACGAAGCGTACCACAGAGAGTCAATATAGGCGCTTCAAACAACTAGCTCTACGAGACCGTTTTGATAGTACTGTAATGACGGTAATGCGTGTGTGTCGTGTGTGGATAGAAGAAGGTAGAGGAACACGAGGGCCAACTGGTCCACCGAGGCGTACCACAGAGCGTAAAGATAGGCGCGTTAAACAACGCGTCAGATCTCTGACCAATGCTTTGGAGAAGAAGGTAGACATGTTCCTATGCGTACACTCGATCGCCGCATTTGAGCCTTTGGACTCTTCACCGTTCACGGTTAATGCTTTCTCTGACTGCGGACCACTGTCTTTAACGGTTGAACTGGAACATAGAACAGCAAGATTGGGAGGCATATTGTCATCTTCAGCGACGGATCGTGATTCTTTCTAGGTACGCACGTTGTGTTGATGATATCGTGCAAACCATTTTACTGCCGTATCAAGAGGGCCGTCCACACATCCTTTTTCATCAAGTTAACGCACATCCCCATATTGCTCGTCGTACTACGGACTTTCTTCAAGAAGCAGGCTTTAATGTTTTGCCGTGACCACCCTGTTCACCTGATTTAAATTCCATCGAACATGTGTGGGATAGGATGGGGAGGAGACTATCCACTTTGGATCATCCACCACAGACCCTGCCACAGCTAATCCACGAAGTTCTAGTTGTTTGGAGATAGGTGCCAGAGATAGACGTCGATCATCTCATTTTCATTCAGCTGCGGGATCGCCAAACACATTATTAATTTTTTTCTAATTACTTGTCAATGAAATTTCGTGCGAATGTTATCGCTCTATTCTTGATCTAACAGAACCTCATTGCCCAAAATACAAGTTAAAAAAATTATTTTGTCTAGTATGTAACACTTTTAATGTCACTGAGTATATGTGCTGCCTACGGTGTAAACATGATCATGGTCACGCTATTTTGACAGATAAGTCATGATTCAACTTCGAATCAAGGGAAGGTATCTTTCCGATTAAGATTATAATTAAATTTATGTATGAGTGTGCATATTTAGAAAAGTTTGAAGTTTTGTGTTACTCCAGCATATTTCATACACTATGAGGTTTTTGTTATCCGACGTGCACCATCCTTTTGGTACGGATGCAGTTGCTAGATTCTGTATTTTTTATTTTTGTTTCTCTGATATAATCGGCTTAAAATAAGAAAAACTTAATGTAATGTAATTTTAGAGTGTGTGCCTGATAGGTACAACAGACATTGCAAAGCCCTCATATCATCGGTAGCCTGCGTATTTCACAAAGGGTTGTTTACTTTGGCTTGTGATGGTATTTGTAATCAAATCTTGCAAGTCAAATTTGACCCACAAGCTCATTTGGTTCTGTAAAGACTTGTTTTTAAATATCATCAACCCATAATAAAACGAGATGATTTTTAAGATGGTGACAAGTAACATTAGCTCTGTATTTTTCACAAGCAATTTTAAACGTATGTTGGATACTTCGATATGATTTTTGAACTACCACATTATTTATTCTTTTTCCAAGTTAGAGATAGATGCTAAACGAAAGTTTTAACTAATAAACTTAAAATGGGGTTGAAGCTCAGATGTGTTGTAATTAACGCTAGCTTTCATTTTCTTGTTCGGCAGTAAGCTCTGAGAAGAGTATACTAGAATATACCTACCGAAAACAATCATATGTTTCATAGAAAAATCTTCATCTGTAAAAGTCGAAACAAAACATTTGTATTCTCCTGCAATCTCAGTTGTAGGATTCAATATCCTCATAGCCCGATGTACACTGTTTGGATCGCCACTAGCTCTATATTTCAAGTCCACCTTGTTCTTCAATACCCCGTAGCTTTGCGGGGCTTGAGGGGGAATCCACTGGTATACTAGGTCATCGTTCAGATACCTGTGAAAAATCTAATAATAAATAACATAGATAACGTGTTCTAAAAGTTTTGTTGTTTTCATTCGGGAATATTCGCCAGATTTTAGCTTTGGGTACTCGCACAACCAACTTGTAGATCCTTTTTCTTATTTCTAATTTGTACGACATCTTAAAGCGAAAACTTCAAAATAAATAAATCTCAACTGACACTAAAGTAAACAAACTTTTGTTTTCAAAGGCAACCTGATATTATTTTGTGTTTGATAAAATCAAAGCCAATGAATTTTGTGCCAAAGCTTTTAGGACATACTATACGTTATACCGCCGGGAAGACGTTAAATACTGCTTATCCTTATGTTTTCTAAGGCACAGACACTGAACGCGAGATCAGCATCACAGATTTCATGAACTTATCTGTGAACACATTGACCTTGTTTTTATTTCGAATGTACAAAGTGAATCAATAAAATGTTTGGTCAAAATAATTTTTAGATATTTAATGTACGCAAAATAAATGTGTGACATGATACACAGTGTGTTCATTTGAAAACTTCTCACCACGGATTTATCGAAAACTACTTTCGATGATGCGTTGACGAAGTTCATCCAAACTTTCAGGCTGGGGAGTAAACACAATAGATTTCAAATAGCCCCATAGGAAAAAGTCTAATGGCGTCAAATCAGGAGATCTAGCAGGCCATTCTATAAGCCCTTTTCGCCTTATCCATTTATCTGCAAACTCGTCGTCTAGCCATTGCCGAACCGGAAGAACATAGTGAGGAGGAGCGCCGTCTTGCAGGAAATATATTTCAGCCTCATCAAGTATATGGTTTCCATCCTCTTCGATTTGGTTGTCAATGGTTTCAGTGATAATCGGATTGATGGTATTTTCCAAATAAATGTGTCCATTATAATTTGTATTAAAAAACAATGGCCCAATCACTTTGTTTCCTAAAATGCCTACCCATACATTAATTTTTTGGGGGTACTGGGCATCCCGTTCTACAAAAGCATGAGGATAGAACGTTCAAAATTAATGCATAAAGTCTATATAAACATGGGTCGAAAAATGCGTGGCTTCCGAAATACAGGGTGTTTAAATTTACTTTCTAAAATAGTTTTTTTATAATATTTCGAACAATATTTGATGTATAACAGTGAAAAATGGTATACAAGGGTTTTTTGGTACGACAAAACGAACCATGGGCATAGTTTTACTGTAGCCGCTAGAGGGCGCTCTCTACTGTACCTGTAGTGTATTAAAATGACCGAAATTTTTTTCTCAGTGCAATTTTTTGCTTTTTGAATAAAAAAACTGAATCCTCGCACTTTTCAACATAAAAAAGCTCTCTCGTGAATGTTCGTTATAGTTAGCCGTTTTTGAGATATTTCGATTTTTAAGGTTCGATGCATTTTTAATTATTTATGATAAAATAACGTTAAAAAGTCAGTATCTCGATAATTTTTAGAAGTAGGCTGTGCCTTCAAATACTTTTGAAATTGAAAGCAGAATAAGGTTAAACGTCAATTAGTTGACAGTTAGTTTTGTTGTCTGTTGAAACCTGAAACGTTTTTTTGCAATTGTGAATGTACGAAATTTAGCTTCTTTTACCTGTTTTTTTTGTAAGTTTTATAAAAATGCCATTTTTATTCTCCAATCAAGAGTTAGCGGTTATTCATTTTGTGTATGGCTTTGTAAATGGAAACGCAGCAGAAGCAGCCAGAGAATACGCACGAAGATTTCCAAACAGACGACATCCAACTCGCTCAGTATTTGTAAGAATGCATCGCCAAATAATTGAAAATGGTTTCGGAAATCTCCAAAGGGATCAAAACATAAATGTTCGTCAGCGCAGATTTACCCGTACGATTCTGCGTGAGTTTGATAGAGATCCGACCACAAGTGTTAAGAGAGTTTCTGGTGCATTGTGAATTTCAGCAAGCCATTTTCACCGTGTTCTTAGAAATGACCATAGACGTCCTTACCATTTGCAACCTGTGCAAGGACTACAGCCAGGGGTCGGAGAACGAAGAATCACATTTTGTCAGTGGATTCTTGATAGAACTGATAATAATAGGGAGTTTTTAAGTAACGTTTTATGGACCGATGAGTCATGCTTCACTAGACGTGGAGTGGTAAATTTTCATAATCAACATATTTGGTCGCATGAAAATCCGCATGCAGTTCGGGAAAGAAATTTTCAGCATGAATTTAGTGTGAACGTGTGGATTGGTATCTACCGTAATCGACTATTTGGACCCTACCTTTTGCCTGCAAGGTTAAAGGCTGCGACCGTCTTGGAATTTTTAAAGGCTGAACATGCAAATATGTGGGACGATGTTATATTAGATTTAAGAAGATTGGCCTGGTTCCAGCTTGATGGTTGTCCAGCTTATTATTCGAGAATAGTTAGAAACTGGCTGGACGAAAATTATCCAGAAAGATGGATCGGCCGTGGAGAACCAGTCGCCTGGCTTCCACGATCCCCTGACCTAAATCCATTAGATTTCTTTGTGTGGGGATTTCTAAAAGAAAAAGTGTACCAGACTCCCGTAACCACAAGAGATATGCTAATAGACAGAATCAGGAATGCATGTGATGAAATAAGGCCTTATTTGAATAATGCTATACCACGTTCGATCTTTCGTAGATGTGAATTGTGTATTTCGAGCAACTACTTTAGATTTTGTATGTTTGTCCTAACTATCCAATAGCGTTTTAGTTGTAAATAATTAATTTGATTTGTTAAAAATAATATTGGAAAATTAAACAAATTAATATTCTGTTTTTTGTGTTTATTTGGAGTTAGGAATTATTGCTGTGTTTAAAAACACAATCTAAACGATCATCTTAATTACTTGTAATGCTCAAATCGAAAATGTAAAGAAAAATATTATTTTCCCATAAATAATTAAAAATGCATCGAACCTTAAAAATCGAAATATCTCAAAAACGGCTAACTATAACAAAAACTCACAGGAGAGCTTTTTTATGTTGAAAAGTGCGAAGAATCAGTTTTTTTATTCAAAAAGCAAAAAATTGCACTAAGAAAAAATTTTACATTTACAAAGCCATACACAAAATGAATATCCGCTAACTCTTGATTGGAGAATAAAAATGGCATTTTTATAAAACTAACAAAAAAAAAACAGGTAAAAGAAGCTAAATTTCGTGCACTCACAATTGCAAAAAAACGTTTCAGGTTTCAACAGACAACAAAACTAACTGTCAACTAATTGACGTTTAACCTTATTCTGCTTTCAATTTCAAAAATATTTGCAGGCACAGCCTACTTCTAAAAATCATCGAGATACGGATAAATATTTAAAAATGCATCGAACCTTAAAAATCGAAATATCTCAAAAACGGCTAACTATAACGAAAATTCACAAGACAGCTTTTTTAAAAAAGTGCGAAGAATCAGTTTTTTTATTCAAAAAGCAAAAAATTGCACTAAGAAAAATTTTTCGGTCATTTTAATACACTACAGGTACAGTAGAGAGCGCCCTCTAGCGGCTACAGTAAAACTATGCCCATGTGTCGTTTTGTCGTACCAAAATACTTTTGTATACCAATTTTCACTGTTATACATAAAATATTGTTCGAAATATTTTAAAAAAACTATTTTAGAAAGTAAATTTAAACAACCTGTATTTCGGAAGCCACGCTTTTTGCGACCCGTGTTTATATAGACTTTATGCATTAATTTTAAAAGTTCTATCGAATCTTAAAGTTATGCAACAATAAACTGAAACACCCTGCATGTAAGTTGTTTGACAATTTAAATTTTTTCCGTATTGGTTGCTAGCATCATAATTGTCTTTTCAGCTCCTGATGAAGGCTCCATAGGGAATTGCCGAAAGCTAGAGATTGCCGTCAAAAGAGTTAACTAAAGCCTAAAAAGTTTGCCAATTTCCCAATCAACAATTAATTATATTTTTGCCCAACTGGTCGTTGGCAGTGGCAATGACTACTGCTCATATATATATATATATATATATATATATATATATATATACTAAGTGACATATAAATCCGAACACCCAGTTTAAATTGTTTTATTTTAATAAAAGTTGGTGAATGTATTTATCTTAGTGTAAATAACAAGTGAAAAAATTTTCAGCCTTATCAGTTGGACATTCCAGTTTTTATACTGCTTTTTTTTAATTCACTAACGCTCTAAAAATGAATATTTCAGCCGCAGTAAAGAATCAACGTTGGCGGATTTTGGTTCTTGACATCCTTTACGATCGGTTACGATGCCTAGAGTACGGAGACCTGTACGATTTCGTCAATTTAGTGAGTTTGGTAGGGGCCGTATAGTGGGACTTCGGGAAGCTGGACTTTCTTTTCGGGTAATTGCAGTTAGAGTGCAAAGAAGTGTAGACACTGTGGTTAGGTGTTGTCAGGCATGGCTTCGAGAAGGCCGTACGCAAAGAGCAAGGGGCACTGGACGCCGCCGTAGAACAACAGACCGTGAAGATCGCCGCCTAAGGTTATTGGCCTTAAGGGACCGTTTCTCCACTACCAGGTCCATTGCAAATGAATGGTTTGCAGAACACGGAAGACCTATTGGCATGCGAAGTGTTTACCGACGAATGAGAAGTTTTGGCTTGTTTTCATACCGGCCACACTGGGTCCTCCCTTTAACTCGAGAACACCGACGTAATCGCCTTGATTGGTGCAGACAACGGTCGCTCTGGGAATAGGAATGGAACAGTATTGTCTTTAGTGACGAGTCTCGATTTTGTTTAGGCATGCACGATGGTCGTGCCAGGGTTAGAAGGCGACGTGGTGAAAGGAGGAATCCACAATTTTTTGTTGAAAGACATGTTCATCACACTGTTGGAGTTATGGTTTGGGGTGCTATAGCTTATGGTTCCAGGTCACCTTTAATCTTCATCAGAGGTAACATGAACGCGCAGCGTTATATCCACGAAGTTCTAGAACCCCATCTTTTACCCTATCTTGACACCCTGGCAGATCCAACTTTCCAACAA